CTAGGGTGGAGGCCATTGCTAGTAGGTTGGAGGCCATTGCCATTAGGTTGGAGGCCATCGTTGCTACTAGGGTGGAGGCCATTGCTAGTAGGCTGGAGGCCACTGCCATTAGGTTGGAGCCATTGCTATGGAGGCCATGCTACTAGGGTGGAGGCCATTGCTATTAGGTTGGAAGCCATTGCTTGTTCCCTCCAACTGAGGCCGATTCTGTCAATCGGTGACGTCCTCGGAGAGACTTGCGAGAGAGACTTGAAGCTTGTAGTGATTGCTTGCACAGTATACCGTATGTGTGACACCAAGGAAAGGATAAGGCCAATGACGTAGTTATCCCTGCGCAGATCGTCTCCAGACAAGTGCTGCCAGCTTTTGTGACGAGACCACCTGTTTTTGAGCCTGAATTTCAAGTGCAACAAGCAGTGTCTTTGCACAACGCTGGCCAGCACTGCGTGCTGGAACTCGACGTAGAGCGTGGCGCTGTCTATGTGGCGCTCTCATACTTGATCATGCAGTCATCGTTTGAGCGAAGATCCTGAGCCTGAGTCGTATTTTGTCCTGATAGTATGTGATGGCATACATAATTGTTTTGTGTGGGATTGAATGGTATGCAGATGTATGCAGACCGCAGGGCCAAGTGCTCAAGCCTTAAGAACCATGTAGATCACTGATGTTTTCTGCCTCGCGAAGGAGGCAAGGGCCGAACGATGGTGGAAAGGGTCCTCGTTCGAGGGCCCCAACAGACCTCCCCGCACTTAGCATTTGTCGTTTGGAAGCGCCTGAAGAGCTGTTGAAGAAACTTCGCCGACATGCAGATGATCCAGCACTTGCAGAGTTCACTTGCCCGATATGTTGGGAACCCTTCTGGCAGCCTGTTCGCACCGTTTGTGGGCATGCCTTTTGCGAGGGCTGCTTGTTGAAGTCAGTTTTGGCGCAGCTGGGTCATGATCAGCCAGATGTTTCTTGCCCATTGTGTCGGCACCCTCTCCATGTGGAGGATGTGTCCGCAGATGAGGCACTCTTGACTCGAATTCGGTTGGTCCTCGCACAAAAGAACCGGGAGATAGAAACGCCACCTGGACGCTCCTCTTCTGGACGGCTCTGTCGTGGATCAACACGGTCACCGAAGCTTGAGACTCCAGGAGCATTGAGACCACTACATTGCACTGGCCAACCTTGCACGCCCGTTGAGTTGCCAAGAGCTCAGACATCATCAATGCCAAGAAGGCCCATTCTGGGATGGATGCATGTTGCACCTAGTGCAGCACGGCCGGCAACAACGGGTTGGGCCGGAGGTCAGCCCACACAGCCGCAGAAAGACGATCCTGCACTTGGGGCAGACCCTTCACTGGGTGCACTCGCTTGTGAAAGGCCCTCACTCTTTGTACGGAGCTCGTTTGCCCAGTCCTTCGGGCCAGGTGCTTCACTCGCCTGGCCTTCGGAGGTGGAGAGGCTTCCAGGACTCTCGCCAGGGCTTTCAATGCCTCAAACGATTGAGATGAGCAATCCCTGGCGAACAGACCCAGACTTCATGGCAGCATCATATGGAGGCCGTTCTGCTCGTGCCCGACAGACTTCGATCCCCAAAAGGCCGCATCATGTCGTTAAGTCAACGGCTTCATCCTTTCCGGCTGCCATGAGAGATCCTCGAGGGAATGACGAGATGGCTCCGACTTGCCCAAGAACGGCTAGAAGGCCAAAGGGTGAGAGGCTTCATGATGGGCATAGGTATCAAAAAAAATAAAAAGAGCATCAAAAAAATAAAAACATGATCAAAAAAAAAGCGAATTTTTAAAAAAATCCTTGATAGGCCTCTTCTGCTGCTCTCCTGGCCTTGTGGTTTGCGGGTCCTCTGGTAATGTGGTCCCTTGGTCCTTTGGTCCTTGGTCCTCTGCTGGTCCTTTGGTCCCCTGGTCCCTTGGTCCTTTAGTCCACTGGTCCCCTAGTCCTCCGGTCTCCTGGTCCTGTGGTCCGCTGGTCCCCTGGTATCCTAGTCCGTCTGTCTCCTACGGCGCTCGTCTGTCGATCTCCTGGTCCCCTGCTTGCGCAAATAGAGGCTTGATTGCTTTCTACTAGAGGCAGCTCCCTGGGAAGAAAGTAGGTACCCAACGATAAGGTTGCCGTCCAGTCATTGAGTAGCCCTACTCGAAAAATTGTTCACCAGTGGAAATAGCTCCCTACTAGGAGGGAGCTCCTGGGGAGGTACACTCTCCTCTACTACCCCAACCATCCTCAGTGGGCTAGAATGTTATTTTTTGATTACCTTTTTATTTTTTTTTTATTGATCCCCGTTGAATATTTTTTGACTCTATTTTTACTTTTATTTTGATCCCTTACCCGTTTCATGATGTGAGATGGAAACTGGAAACCACAAGGAACATAGAGTAAGGGGCACCGTTTGCTATGCAGCGGGAAGCAACCCCATCCAGTGACACCATAGTAATAGTATGTAATAGTAAGTGACAGATAGTCACAGTAATCTCTTTCGCATCATTGCCGTCGCACAATTCAATCAACCAAAGCATGGTCGCGTAGCCTGCCAGAAGTCACAGCTGGGTTGTTGGACATATGCTTAGCCCTGCGGAACGCCATGGTAGGGGGGCAGTTGCGCTCGAACGCAGTCCCAGATCTAGAGGATGCATTTACCTGACCTTTGTCATACCTTCATGCCGTTTGAGGTAATGCGCCGTTTGTTTGGCATTTAGCGGCATATTTACAGCACAGCGTCATTTGGCTGTGCAAGTGCGTGAGTTGCAAGGGTTGGCAGTGTAAGATTGGAATTGCAGCAGGCGAAACGATCAAGGGTGGCACCTCGCCCAAAAGGCAAGAACCGGAATCGAACAGGGATGGCCACAAATTGCCGAGATCACAACATGGTCCTTATGCACGATTTCCTAGTGCTATCTCACCTTACTGTGTTGGCTCATCCTTTTGTCGACTCTCCACTGAGCCAACCAGCTGACCTAGCTATCACTTGGCCAGCTCATTTAGGTCATCAGCTGGTTATGACAACAAGAGTTTCTCACTTAATTGTTAGATTCGTACAACTAAGGGGGTCAACCTATCCAATTCTTATTGAAGTTCTTTAAGGATCTTTTAGGGGGTCACAATGGTAGTCTCCTCTGGAGTTCATTTCATTTGCTTTCATGTGCTTTCATTCTGCTTTGATGTGCTTTCATTCTGCTTTCCTTTTACTTTCCATTCTGCTCTCATTTGCTTTCATTCTGCTTTCATTTGCTTTCATTCTGCTTTCATTTTGCTTTCATGTCGCTTTCATTTGGATTATTTTTTTGCACTTTTGGAGCTGAATTTTATAAATCTAGATCTTGAGGTTTTATTATGGGCCCTAAACCCAGAATTTTGGTCGAATAGGAAATCAGAATTGATCGGGATTTTCTGGCAATTTTGACTTTCATAACATATACATATATATATTTAAGGATGACCTGCTTAATTTGAATTAAGCATTACTGTGGCAATTACTTGGCACCTGCCCTTGCAGGAACTATGCTCGACACCGAAGATGAGAACGTTCCTCCAAAGGCAAGCTTTGCTTGCTGAAGTGCATCTCGGCAAGAAGTCCTCCGACATGCCAACACTCACACACAGGATTTGAAGCAGGTACTTGTACCAGGTAGAGGTAGAGTGTAATCATTTGACATAGAGTATAGTGTTTCCTCAGCTATATAAGATGGGCTGTTGGGTGCAAGGTTCTTCACCTCTCCTTTACCAATTCATGCCGCCAACGCAAGGATTCAGCGGGACTCCCCAGCTATTGAGACGCTCCGAACATATGAGCATTTAGTTAGTCTGCCCGATCCCTCCTGCAACACGCAGGATAGGCAGAACTTGATGGCTGGAGGGTAGGACCACTCTGGATTTCCGTTCCCAGAAAGCATCGGTCGCCAAGACATTGTGGCCGCCTTCAGCACAGCAAAGACGTCCCAAAGGGACCTTAGAGTACAGGATTTGCAAAGCCGGTCCTGAAAACGGTTCGACTGTGAAGCCAGTGCAGCCTGCTCCATAACGCAATCCTTGCTTTCCACTGGCACCAATCTCCATGCCCTCACCAGGTCATTGATTGCAGCACCAACGGCACCTACCTAAATGGACTCAGACTACCTCCAAAGTCCACAGGAAAGGCGAGGCTGACAAACTAACTTAACACTACGGCATGTCCATTTACACCCCCTTGTGATGCGGAGCATTCACCAGGTGTTGTTGTCTCATGGCGACGAGCTGTTGCTGCAAGATCCTGGCAACGGGGATCAAGAGAGCGATCCTGAGTCTAGACAAGTTGGCATTCTGTGACTTCATATGACCGGTTGTGTGTGGGCAGAATGATGCACACACCCACATACTGTACATGAATGTTTGTCCTGTCTAGGTTTGGCTATGTGGTGAACATTCAGGAGCTGAACGTCAGGGAGCGAGCGAAGCTCCAGGTGCATTTCAATTTAATTTGTTTTGTCATCTCAAGTCACGGCCATGTTTCATGCAGGCTCCACGTCGCATTCTGACCACAGAGGAGTTTGGTGCCTAGCAAAGTCTCAAGTGTTCACACCCCCGACCCAAGTTCAGTTTCGCAGCTGCCTCATGTGGCTCAAGAGGACACGTGCTAGCAATCAGGATCGCTTCGGGCACAGGTCTTTCAGGTCCATGTGGAATTGTCATGTCCAGAGCCTGACGGAATTTGCGGCCAAAGGCACCAAAAGGTTTCAAAAGGCAAACGCACAGCTTCTATCACCTAGGACCTAGGAATCACAGAAAGAAGCCAAGAAAGACTGAGGTCTGCCACCATTGGCCGTGACTTCCAGTGAGATTGGTGAGAGGAATCACCGTCGGGTGTCCGAAGTCCAAAGACCGATTTCTGGACTTGGAGTAGGGCACAAACCTGGATGGTATAGCAAAACAAACGATGTGCTCACTGTCGGCTTCACTTAGAAGTAATATAGTATAATATGGTAGATATATACCTAACTAAGAAAACACATAATATATGATCAGAAGTTATCAGAAGGACCGATATGCGAAATGTAGGCGAGCGTTGTGCCTGACCCTCGCTGGAAACTCGACCTTTCTTGCTCTCGTTTCCTGCTCGACCGGGACACATTTTCAGTAGTGTTCTTGGTCACAACTTTTTGGAACAGCTGTTGGGATACAAACTGGAGATGCAAGGTGTTGCTCGTTGCTCGTTCAAGCTTCCTTTTGCATTCGGCATGGGTGCAAAAGTTACAGTTGTTTACACCCAAGCAACCCACCTTCCATATTCACGCGGCGCTCATTTGCTTGGTGCTGCTTTGCCCAAGCCTCAGCGGATAAAATATCCATTTCGATGCAAGGCGGGAACATAGAGTTTGCGGGATGCCGTGGCTGTTCGAGGTGAATGGAGGATGCGCTTCCTCTCAGGTTTGGCTGATACGCTTCTGAGCCCTTTCGATGCCCTTGCTTGTTGGTTTTGTTCTCCTTTGCATGCCTTGTGCAGGTCAAACCTGCTCGAGGTAGAGCATGAGGTGCATGCGGCTCGGGAGGTGGAAGCCTCGAATCAAGGTGCGACTTTTGAACGCTCCACGCTTGATTGTGTGATGAAGTGTCTGAAGGGTTTTGAGCAGGCCTAGAGCTAGAGTCGACCTGCCAACCAGCTGAGCTTCTTGGATGGGTTGCATTTCAGAGTCAGAGCTGGAGGGTTATCGTACAAGGTTCAAGGTGACCAAATTGACCAAATGCTTTCTTCTATGTTTCCAATGGGAGGCTCGGAATATGTTGGAATCAATCAGGTTTATATTATAGTTGGGGGAGGTTGCAGTGCTTCATCAAGCTGGAGTTAGTGATAAGATTTGAGATCTGGCAATTTTGTTTCGACTGTGGCTGTGCACATGGGTGTGCCAGCAAACTGTCAGTGTGACTCGGCACTTAGTTCGAACAAGGCAAGTTAGCCCAGCGCTTCTTAACAAAAAATGGTCAACTTTGGGCCTAATCCTTTGCTTGCTACCTGACTTGCCTGTCTTTCCACCCTTTTGGCCGTCAAAATGGGTGGGGCAGTGGCTTTGCTGGCTTTTGTTGCACATGCTGATGTAGGCACCGCTTATATCCCTACAACCTCCCCTCGCTCCCTTCCTTGCTCCGAATCGATGACAGTCCAACCTTTGACTTCGTTTGCTTTGTTTTGGCATGTTTTTGCTCCAATGCTCCAGTCTTTTGTCCTGAGGATTTCCAGGCCATGGTCTTTGAAGCGGAGCCTTCCTAGCACCATTTGCCTTATCATGATCGGGACTGTGAAGGCCCGACTCTCGGGTTCGACATTCTACCGATTCTCGATTTCTCGATGTCATGCAGGCGGTCTGCGGTTGTGTGTCGCCCTGAGCATGCGCTGTTGTGCTTGTCAAGCCTTGAAGAATTGGGTGAGCGCACTGGCTGAGCCACCCACTGTGAACGAGGTTGGAAAGTGGTGCGTCATGCTTTTTCGAAAGTCTTCGCAGAGGCGAAGAGCGCTTCCAGCTTTGGTGATACTTGTAGAGTGACATTTGGCAGAATTTGGCATTTGACTGTGTGACCCTTACAAGGCCTCAGGCATCACCACCGCTGCCGCTGGTTTTACCACCGCAAATCAGCCATCACCCAGGCTTGGTTGGGGGTTTGGCTCTTGGGCTTGATGGCAAAGCTAGATGTGGTAATTCCAGATGTTATGAGTAAACCAAACTTACGTAGAGGAAATAGAAATAAATAGAATATGTCTACTGTCTTTGTTACATGTGCTTCTGGTCGGCAGGCGAAGCCGGGGATGCACTTGAGGATCGCCCAAAAGCCTCTCAGATTCAGGTTCAAGTGGACCTGGAGAAGATCCCGCACAGTGAGCCTCACGATGCAGAGGTACAAGCTGGCATCAAAGTCGCTGGATTCTATTTGAGACTTGGTTGAGAAGTACTGGAGCCTTTCATTCCTGCACTGATTAGGTGAGAGGACGAGGTGGGACTGACATCACTGAATCACATCCGTCTCCGCGACACTGGTGCACAGCTTACATCGGTGTTGTTTCGTTGCAGCTGTGCCAAAGTGCCCATGCTTGGAAGATCTTGGAAGTTATCTTGTAAGTGCTCCTATTGCTGATATTTCATGCAAAAATTAATTGATATGAATGGTACTGTAGCAGTGGGATAGATGTGCACAGTTTCCGTTGTTGAGCCAGATCCTAAACATAACAGATGTTAAACAGTTCTTGGTGAACGTTCAAAGCTGTGAGGAACGACTGGCAACTGCCACCTGGGTTGGGTGACAGAGACCTCGATGCTCTTGTCTCAGAGGTTCATGAAGAGTGCTCAGCCATCGGCCTCATCTCTCACCAGCAAGCGTTGCGTTTAACCTTGGGCATGGGCTACAGCAAAGAATCTGCAGTTGCCAAATGGCGAGAGGTAGTGGCATGGCGAAATGCTGGAGAGTTAAATCTCCTTCGTTCTCGGCTGGATGATTTGATGTGCAGTGATGCTACGGTGTCCTTCGCAAATGACAGGGAGGTGTACAACAAGCTCTTCAGGGGCTGTCCTTGCGCCCTTCTGACAGCTGATGACCGTCCTGTGTCTGTGTGGCACGCTCAAGCTCCGAAAGGATCCGGGCAGGTGACATCTTTGGACCTCGAGGACTTGAACGCCTGGAGCCGCGAGGTCTTTGAGTATGCCGACCTGTGGGTCACAAAAGACACGGAAAGAACAGGGAGGCTGACAGGCTACATCCAAGTCTACAATATGCAAGGTCTTAGCTTGAGACAAGTCTCCTCAAAGGAAGTGACGGAGAGACTGAAAGGAGCATTGTCTGCTGGGGGCTTTTACGTTGAAGCCGTTGCTCACATTTATGTCATCAATGCATCTCGCTTGTTCTCGATGGCATGGAAACTTGTTCGTGGCTTTCTCTCTCCTTGGACTGCGTCCAAAATCACTGTCTCAAGTGAAGTGCCTGATGAACTCTTAGCAGCATGGTTGCGCTCAGTCATACATTTTAGTGAGCCGCGGGCAAAGGCTGGTTGAACCAATTCTTTCTTGATTATACTGTATACATATAGCAAGGACGCTACTAGGAACAAAGGGCATCGCTACCAGGGGCTCCTGGCCTGAGCAAGAAGCTACACAGGTCTAGAGTCAGAGGCTCGATGCTGCTGACGATGAGTGGCCGAGAGAGTGTTCGGAAATGCATGCCACATCACATCACTATTTACATCTCTGGATGGAAAACGAAAGCACACGCACAAGTTACACAAGTCCTTCTTGTTCTTTGATTCATTCATTTCTGATGGTTGGATATTTTCTCCGGTGTGACTTCAAGAACAACTTTAATTAAACATAATCCTTCTCACTGGTAAAGTTCAAGCAGCTTCGCTCCATGTGGGAAATATCTTTGCTGACTCTATCCATCCACTGGACCATGAATGCTAAGGCAGAGCTTGGTGGATCTGGGTCCCCATCTGCATTGCACCTGGAAAGGCTGCTGGTCGCAGCTGCAGATGTGAATGGTCCCTCAATCTTGGCTCCGGTGCTGCGACCTACGCGCTCCTTGTCTCCTCGTCGGAGCTCCGAAGAGAGTGTTTACACAGGAGCATCCACGGCCACTTGCTCCACCCGAGCGTCCACTCGAGCTCATGGCGTTGGATCCTGTGAACCCACAGCTGAAGAGATGCTCTATGAGGAAATGCCAGAGATGCCAGAGGGTTCCAGATGGGTGGCCGGATTTCTCCTAAGGCCCGAACAACTTCCACCAGGCATCGAGGACCGAGACCTTGATGCTTTGGTTGATGAGGTCCATGCCAAATGCGGTGCAATTTTGCCCACTTCGAAGCAACAAGCTTTGAGGTTAGTCCTTGGCATGGGCTATAGCTCTGAAGCGGCGGTTGCCAAATGGCAAGAGATCGTTGAATGGAGAGCATTTGTTGGCATGGACTTGATTCGCCAAGAGCAGGCAGATGCAGTTCTTGCTGACGGTCCCGTGCGCTTCCCAGGCACAGCAGAGGTTCATGACAAGCTCATTTGCACCAGCCCTTGTGCTTTTTTGTCCATCGATGGTTCCCCAATTTCCATTTGGCATGCTGGCACAATGAACACGAGGGACGCGGGGGCATTGTCCATTGAGCAGATTTCCCAATGGAGCAGGGCCGTTTTTGAGTATAAAGATGCATGGATTTGTCAACAGAGTGAAAAGACCAAAAGACTGGTCGGTTACGTGCAAGTATATGACATGAGAGGGATGAATTGGCGGCACTACTCTTCGCGAGAACTGGTTGACAAGCTCAAGGCGGCCTTGCAAACTGGCGGCTTTTATGTTGAGGCAGTGAGTCATATGTTCGTCATCAACGCCTCGACCCTTTTCTCCGCAACATGGAAGGTTTCTCGGCAGTAGCGAGCTTTTAGGCATCCTCACCACAAATGGGCTCCCAAACCATAGCATACCATAACAACTGGCCACTGGCACCCATTTAATCGACTCAGAAGTACTTTGTTTGAGAGCAATTAGTGGAGGGGGGGCACAGATGATCCTGCTCTTTGATATTGTTCCAATCCGTTCTGGAAATGAAGCAGGTCGTCCGGAACTTGATCTCGCCATGGACAGCCTCGAAGATCTCTGTGTCCAGTGGTGTTCCGGATGAACTGATCCACTTACTAGGCACTGGGGAGTGGGGCTTGGATGCAGTGAAGTGATGCATCGAGACAACGCAAAGTGGTGATGTGACTTTCACAAGTCGAAAGGCCGCCAACATGGATACTTCCCATGATTGGCATTGGTCGATATTGATGCACAAATAGTTAGGACCCCTAATCTGCTAATGCTTAGCCAAAACAACATACTTTTCGTTGTTGACGGACCCGGAGTTGGCACAGTAATCACAGCAAGCTCGTTTGCCGACAGGTGGGCCAACCTCCGATGCAGCATTGAAGTTCCAGGACCTCCAAAGGAGGACAGCTTAAGGTGTAGTTTGCAGAAGGCATGCTTCGTGATAGACATGGCCTCATTGTACCTGTGTAGTCTAGCTTTATATATGTAGCGTTGAGTGCATTGGAGTAGTGAGTAGTGGCTGATCCTGAAAAGGACTCCTCTGGAAGCTGCCCAGTGCACTTCTGTGCTGCGGCCGACCTGGCAGGCGAGAGTTTTTTGGCAACTGGCATGGCTGGATGTTTTGCTGCTAGGGTAACACCTGTCCACTTGAGGATTTAGCATAAGCGGACTAGAGCATAGAAAGAAAAGGAACAGCAGCTCGATCGATCATGGAGGCACCAGGTGCTTGCATAATTTTGGTGAAACAACTCGGCGACCAGGGCTCACTGTTTCTACCTGTAAGAATTCAGAGTGTGTATGCGGACCGGGTCCTAGTCTTGGTGTTTGTCGTGATGCAACGATGCCTGCCCATGGAAGCAGGCAGCGCCATCCTCATCCCCTCAGGGACGGAGTTCGATTGTGAGCGAATTCTCGCAAGAGTCGGTGTGGCAAAACGCTGTGCTTGGAAAGCTTTAGACTACTTTCAGAGTACATAAATAGAGCACCCCCAATGCCCCTATGCCCCAATAATACTAATTTCAAGGACAAACTTTCCGCTTCAGCTGCCTCATGTACACCGAAATGGCTGTGCTTAGTTTCAATTCCACCTGTGGCTAGTGGTAAGTTTTCTGTTTCTTCTGGCTTTTCGCAAGGTTCAGCCCATGTGGTAGTCGCGAGACACCGCAGGGCATGAGACGGATCGCTGGCTTTCTCCTTGCAGAGGAGCAGCTCCCCAAGGAGCAGCTCTCCAGGGATTGGGACTCGTCAGTCGCCGAGGTCAAGGAGCTTTGTTCTCAGCTGTCGCCCTGCACCACGCAACAGGCATTGAGACTACTGTTGGGGATGGGCGATCGAAAGGGAGCTGTAGAGAAGTGGAAGGAGATTGTCGCTTGGCGAGTTGCCAACCGTATTGAGGATGTGAGGAGAGAGCAGTCAGATCATCTCGAAAGAGGTAGTACAGACAATCATTTCCCCAACTCCTTGGATGTTTGCAACAAGCTCATCAGAGTCGAACCATGTGTCCTTCGAGCGGCCGATGGCTCCCCCGTTTCGATTTGGTACGGTGGCAGCCTAGAAACGGAGGCAACCAACCTCACTTTAGCTCAGATCACCGCTTGGAGCCACGCAGTGTTCGAGTACAAGGATTTGTGGATATCGCAGCAGAGTGAAGGGAAGAAGACTTTGATGGGATATATTCAGGTCTATGATATGCAAGGCGTGAGCCTACGACTGCTGTCTCAGGCATTTTCTAAGGATGTTATGGAGAAGATGAAGCGTGCATTGGACGCGGGCAGCTACTACATGGAAGCTGTCTCTCACATGTATGTGATCAACGCATCCACGCTTTTTTCCATGGCTTGGAAGGCAGGGTTCAAGGTTGTGTGGCAAGCCAACACCACAGGAACAACAATACGTTAGAAACAGTTTAGTGGTCGTGACACTGAGTGGAACCAGTTATCTACATTCCTCGTGTGCTTCTGGAGGTCGTTCGTCAGTTTATCCCTCCACGAACTGCATCAAAGATTAGCGTTTCCAAAGACATACCAGAGGAGCTTGGCTGCAGGCGAAAGTCCGAAAGGAAAGGCGACATGTTTGACAAACGTTATGAAATCGATCTTTTCTTGCACTTGTTGTTCAACTCCAGTTGTTCCACACCTATTGTATGACCGAGCGCCTGGTGTGACGGCGTGCGTGGCTGAGGAATTGGTGCGGGCCCTTGGCGGCTCTCAATCAGAAGCTCTAAAGTCTCTTAAAGAGATGCTGTCAACTGGAAGGGGCGTGGAGCTTAGTGGAGCTTAGGCATCAGCTTCTCAGTACATGTCATTTTTGTGGCTTTTGGCCTGATAACTCCTTGCCCCCGGACGCCCACAGAATGATTCTGGTCCTTTCTGGGTGTGGTAAAGACAAATGAAGAAAAGCCATGAACAGACGGTATCAACATCAAACACCCATGCACAGATGCAATGTTGATCTCCATGGTGCTCTCAATTTCCCCCGCCGGACCGGCCCCTGCCCTCGTGCAAGGCCACACTTTAGGGCCGGTGCTTCGTCCTCATGCTTCAAACTTAGTAGTGACTTTGTCGGTTGGAGGCCATGGCTATTAGGTTAGCTGCAAGAAGCTGAGTGGTCCGAGTGGCTTGGCATCTAAGGACTGTCCGGGTCTGAGTGGATGAAAGGCCCCTAAGCTGCCGTGACCGCTGGCAGCTGAAGATTCCCAATTGTCATAACATGTGTTGGGGATGTTGGGGGGCCCATCAAGCGATCAAAGGCACAGTAGTGACTCAGGAGTGTATTGAAACTGAACAAATTTGAAAGGCCTAATTTTTTGCGAGATCTGGGGATCCCAGCAAGACTCTTGGTCTTTGGGGCCAGCCACGAAGCCTACTGCAACCCAACGAATCAAACTAAGTGAGACATGGATGGAAAGCTTTGTGCGTTTTTTCCCTTTGGAAGTGGCACTTAGATGCCCTTGGAAGAAGGCGCTTCGTGCGACTCAAGCTTAGCAACATTGCTTTCAATTGTTCAAATTATTCGTTCCCTGCATTTCCCTGCATCGTGCGCTGGCACAAAGCACGATGTTGGTGCATGATGTATTAGATGCTGACTGTTGTGCGGCTGGATCTGCATGAAGGAGCTGCATCATCAGCAGGAGCTTGTCCCCCTGTTGGGCTGAACTTGCAGACTCCTGGGCGGTCAAAAGCTCAGGAAGGTCATATTGGGTACTTGCTTTTTAAAGGTTCGGAAGATAAACTTTGCGTGGCGTCCTCATGAAGCCGGTGTGTGTGATTTGGGCTTGTTGGGGTGCAAGAGAGCCCGGGACTGTGGATGCATCACACGCTGCTTCACGGCCAACCGTAGTGATGTGTAGTGCCATGCGTAACCCCTCTTGAGGCAGTTGGCACGTTAAAGCAAAGCTTTGGGCCACAACTGTGGAAGCCTTGAACATCCTTTCTTCGGAACTCGCACGATTTTCTTTCATAGACCATGGATGGAGTTGAAGGCAGCAAAAAGTGCAGCAGCGGCTTGTGCATGTGCATTATGCTTGTTTCAACTCGGGACTTTTCTCCTCACTATCCCGAATTAATTCTGGACCTCGTGTTTGTGCAGCCAGATGCTAGAAACTGCAGCCTACACAACGCCTATTCAGGCTAGAGCCGCTTTTTGCTCAGGAAAGTCAAGGACCAAAGACACACACTGTGGTGGAGACCTTCAATGACCCAGTACGCCCAGCACAAACACTAGGAGATGATAAACATTGATAAGTTAGCTTGAAGCGGCTAGAACATTGGCAGGTGTATGCCGTATTCTGCGCACTGTGCTCAGCTGTGAGAAACCGTTCACAATCTCGATTTTCTGCATGTTTTTTTTTTTTTTTTTAAATGTCTATATATAGATTGACTAGATTGACCGTCACAAGTTCCATTCCATGTGATGTGGATAGCTGGGCAGATTCGGCGCGCATGTGTTGCTGTCCAGACTTGGCGAGTCTCCCGACGATGGAGCAGCCAAATTGCAAATCGCAACAACTCACGAGCTGTGAGCACAGAAGACTATGCATATGTTCGAGTCAAGCATGTAGAGCAGCCCAATGCGACGAGTGATGATGAGCCAGGTTCCTTTCTGTTGCCATGGGTCGAGTGGGACACCGGCATTCCCGATGTGTATGTGAAAAGAGCTGGTCTCCTTTTCAGCTGTTTTTTGTTGAACTCAGATATGTATTTGGATGGAGGTGTGCTGATTGATTTGACGCACAAGCGGAATTTTCACCTGGCAACATTGATGTGGCTCAGCATCATCGCACCGCAGGTGGGAACCTGGTTCTTTCTGAGGTCCAGAGGGTATTTTATTTTGTCCTTGTTTGGGTGCAATACTACTGTTGTGTGGTTGGCTTGCCCCTATTGGCTGGAACTGGCCTTTTGCAGTCCAAGACTTTGCAGTGTTTCTTTTCGTTGTCACGATGGAGCCAATTTGCCAGCTTTCTGAGTCCTGGAAGGGTGGCCAAGAATGCACCGAAGGCTTGTGGTTCAGCATTGCAGAGGGCCTGATGGAGGCACCAGCCAGTTCTACTATGACTCTCTACTTGGCCATGCAGACAAGCACATTGGAAGACTGTGGCCCCTCTCTACTTTTCAAGGCAAATGTTGTGAGTGGGATTTTCAGCATCACTCGCTGCAGCACCAAACTGTACTTCTATGGGGAGTCACCAAGCATGGCCAAATTTGCGAAGGTTGCCATCTTGGACCAGCTTCCAAAGGCTGTGTCTAGGATCATTGCCTTTGCGCTAGTAGCAATTTTAAGTATGCCAGTAAAGCCCAGCACAGAAGATAGTTGGCAAACCAGCGGCTTCTTGACATTCTGGTTCCTTGCCCAGAAGTTTGCCTTGAATGTCGCTCTGTTGCGAACCTTAAGCCCAAAGATTGGCGTTGAAGTGTCCCTGATTTTGGGTTGCACTATGTTGGTGAGCGGTCCGCCAGGCTTTTTGTCGGTCCT